TTTTTATCGTCCCGCTGCCGTCCCGCACTTGTGGATTCAGACATTGATATTTCTGTTGGAGCGATTTGTATCGTCCTGCTGCCGTGCCGCTGCCGCTGCGCTGCCGCTGCGCTGCCGCTGCGCTGCCGCTGCGCTGCCGCTGCGCTGCCGCTGCCGCTGCCGTCCCGCACATATATGGATTCTCACCTTTAGGCTGTTTTTGTCTAGCTTTTCGCGGCCAGGAGCCGGTGTCAAAATAGAGGTCACGATCTGATTATAAGACGGTAAAAAGTCGAAGAAGAAAAACAAACAAGCACGCACAGCAGTCATGAGATTATCAGGAGTTAGTTCCCCTCCCCTTTGTGAGGTAGACTCGACCAGCGTAATAATTAGTTTACATATAGTCAATGCTTGTGACTGCTTATGACAGTAGTTCGAAAGGGGTGACCAGGGTATTTCTGTGGCCATCATGCAATGAAACAATTTTGAGTGTTGTGCACATTCTCTTCGCCTCTTTGGATGGCAACGAAACAGTTCTGAATGTAAGCCACAGGACTACTGTTCCTCGGTGATTATAACGTCTTTTACATTTAATTTATGAGGCCAACGTCAAGAACACGACGATGTTCCAAAATTAGGAAGGGATCATCAAGCAGTAATTATTAGACAATATAGATCTATAGAGGCTTCGCTGATTTTCTAAACTCTAAGCTCTAGACAGTAGCACTCTAACATAGTATTTCCGAATCACCACGGAGCGCATAATCTGAGCCTGAATACAAGTGAATGAACACGCATACTGCGCCAGAATCTGCACTTCAAACAATATTATAGGAGAAATAAGCCATACGAGAAGCTGCATGAAGACAATCCTGAGACCATCTGCAAAATATTTGATATTTTTTTGCATAATTTCTGATTATTTTTCGTTATCATTCTTTGTTAAAATTAACAGAGTCGTATAGTTTCACATTTTTGGACTCAGTTTGCGTAATTTCAGAATTTCCCTTGCTTAAAACGACGGGGACAAATTATTTTGCAGATGCTTATTCAAGCGAGGTGCATAAAACCACAGGGACAGAATAATAATATACGAAAAGAGCCATACACTGCATGCATACGCTCCTCAGATTAAAGCTAACAGATAAGGAGACATTCATACTAGGCCTAGAGGTACCACAGAACATTCGTCAACGGTAACATGCACATCATAGCATCCCGTGTTTTTTGGTGTTTTTTAAAGTTTTAGTAAGTGTTTTACGGCACTTGCAACACAGTAAGGTCATAATATAAGTGCCGAAGATTAGAGGTGTTACAAGAGAGTAACAAACACAAAAAAAGAAGGAGGGGAGATAGAGACGAGAGATATTTGATAGGAGAGAAGAGACAATCCACACCAGAGCACCCGCCAACCAACCCAACACTAACTAACATGATGGCATTTCTTAGCGTATGGGCTAATATTAATTTGAAGAAGAATAAAAGAATTTTATTAACTTTGCCTCGCTTAAATCTTTTGATAATAATATGAGGCATACATGTCTCTTTTTGGACCAAATCTCGGCTTTGGGTAGAGTGCGCAGTGCGATCTGACTGTGGAAATTCCCAGCGCATTGTTTGCACTGATGATAGCTGACCGGACAGAGATGTACAGTATTGCGCAAGTGGAAAAAGGCGTACTCTGGTGAATGTTCTGTTTTATCGAAGAATTTGCTAGTGTATTCATGGACAGTATTGACATAATATTGCATGCACGCGCGTACACACACACACACAAACACACACACACACACACACACACACACACACACACACACACACACACACA